GCCCCCCCAGATCAACGAGTATGAGATGGCCACACCTGACATTTCATCCATCGGATCCAATTCCCGCGAGGGCAGCTTCGATTCTATGGATGACGAGGATGATGATGAGGAGCATTACCATCTCGGCGACCACGATATCGGAGAGGATAGCTTCGATGCTTCCTTGGAGGACACAGATAAGACACCTGTTGTCGGCCCCGATGACTGGAGGCAGTCTGCCGAGCGCATGGAGGACCCCTTCGAGAGCAGCCCCATGCCCGAGTCACTGCCGGCCCGCCCCGGTAGGCCAGAGCATGTTCGCTCCGACTCTTCCACCTCAGACCACCGCCCCTTGCCGCCTCTCCCCGGCATGGGTGGCTCATTCACCCGCAGCGAGTCTCGCCTCAGCGATTCCCGCGGCTCACCCGGTATCTCAGCTACTGCTGAGAGGATGCTGGGTACCCACCGCAGCTTGCCTTCACCGCCGCCCGCGGCCGCTGCTGCAAGCAAGTCGGAGATCCAAAGCATTGGCAACGGCAAGATGACCCTCGAGGAGAGACTGAAGCTTATGATGCTTTCGGACGACCACAAGTCGGCCAGCGAGCAGCAGAGAGAACGTCGTCTACGTCGTGGCGCTCAACGCGATAGATTCCAGAGCCCTTCGTCCGAGACGGAGACTGCTGAGTCGAGCATGCTCGAGGCCGATGAGGAGGATGATACCATTGGTGACATCTCGGCGCTTGAGGACTATGAGCTACCAACTCGCATCTCTCGCGAATCCATCCTCCGCCGCGTTAACACTGGCGAAACCGCACAAGAGGCCGAGTACTTCTCCTCCCCGGCGCCTAGCTCCAGCCCGGAGCGCCCAAGCCCTGAGCGTCGCCTCCCCCTTCCCCTTGACCCCGACGTTCCTATTCCTTCCACCGAAGACTCTATCTTGGACGATGAGGTCTCCGACTTGTCGGATGAGGAAGGCAGTGTCATCATCCACCGCGATGAGGACACTGATGCTGAGACTGAGTCTATCACTGACTTCTACGCCCGATCCGAGGATGAGAACGATGCGGACTCTGCAAGCCACTATTCTGACGGCCCCGCTCGCGTGCCCGAAGTCACTCAAGTAGATGAGGAGATCCTCACTCCTCGTGCTGCTAGCCCCCAGCAGGCTTTCCAGTCTTTCGACATTGCTTCTGAAATAAGACCTCTTGAGCTCAAGTCCGACAAGACTGGAAACACCCCTACTGAGTCGCCTGTCGAGTCTCCTATGGAGCTGCCCGCCAAGGAGCCTACCCCCGAGCCTGCGGAGGTCATTGAGCCTGAGGCTGAGATGGAACCCGAAATCCAGGAGATTGAGCAAGAACAGGAGAAGCAGGTCGAGTCGCCTGCTTCCGTCCATTCTGGTCTGCCTGAGATGAAGGATGAAGCCAAGGAGAATGAGTTCTCCAAGGGTCTACAGTCCTTCATGTTGCCGCCTCCTCCCGAGCCCACAGCTCAAGACCTGGAAGAACTTCAGCCCCCGCCCAAGATGGCAGACGTTCAGGCTCAGCGTCCCTTTACTCCTCCTCAGCTCCAGGGTCTCTACGACGGCTCTGGCTGGGGCGAGCCGGAGGATGAATACGACGATGAACCCGGTACGCCCGAGTCCGTCATTCATCGCCCGATTGAGGATTCAGACGAGGAGTCAGACTTTGAGGAGTCCATGCTCGAGCATCCTCCCTCGATTGCCGAGGAACCCCTGGAGTCTCCTGCCATCCCCGAGCGTCAGGCAACCATCAAGGCCTCCGGCTCCAAGCTCAAGACTAGGCCGTCCAACACTCCCTCCGACATCATTGCGATGAGGGAAGCCCGGCGTCAAGTTAGTCGCGAGGTGCCAGATATTCCCCCTATCCCTGAGCGTCACCGCAATAGACTGTCTCGCGATCTTACCGAGGAGTCCAACGTCGGTGAGGACTACTACACGCAGCGCCACCCGAGCTTCAAGAAGCGCAGTCTCACCCTGGATCTCGACTTTGGTCTCAGTCTCGACCAAGATTTCGATCGCGTCATCGAACAACAAAAGGTTGCTTTTTCTCAACAAGTTTACGAAGCCTCCCAGATTGCGAGCAAAAGCCTCAGCAGACAAGCGTCTAGGCCGACCGCATCCAACAGAGAGATAATCGCAGAAGAAACACAATCACAGAATGCTAACATCAAGTCTCGTAATCAGCGCGGATACCTCATGCGTCAGAACACAAAGCTTGTTACCGCAAGTGACAAGGAATCTGATGACAAGTGGAAGACCAGATCGGCTGGCAACTCCCCGGTGAAGACCGACCGCCCGCAGTCGTGGACCGTCGAGCCCTGGAATGGTAGGCCCAGACAGAAGAGCGTAAGACGATCGCGCGCCCACACCAGCGGACCGGCGCCGCCCTTGCCCGGCCAGGAGAGCAACGCTCACACTCTTAACCCGTTGGCTGAGGAGGACTTGAACCCCGAGTTGGCTACCGAGGAGAGCGGTGAGCGCGGCAGACTCTTCATAAAGGTGTTGGGTGTGAAGGATCTGGATCTTCCCATCCCTAGAAGTGAGTCGCACTGTCCGATGAAGCGCCATATGGTACTAACATTTCCCAGACGAGCGAACTTGGTTCAGCTTAACCCTCGACAACGGTGTTCACTGTGTCACCACGGCTTGGCTTGAGCTCGCCCGCAACGCTCCCATCGGCCAGGAGTTCGAACTTGTCGTGCCTAATGATCTCGAGTTCCAACTGACCCTCAACGTCAAGCTCGAGAAGCCTCTGCCGAAGAAGGTCGTTGTTCAGTCGTCTCCTACTAAGGCTAGCAAGCCCAAGACGTCTACCTTTAGCAGGGTGTTTGCGTCCCCCAAGAAGCGCAAGGAGATGGAGCTGCGCGCCCGTGAGGAGGAAGAGAGACAGGCAGCGCAGCAGCGTGAAGCCCAAGCTAGACAAATGAAGGTCGCGCCCAGCGCCTGGGATCTGTTGTCGCCTCTCGCCGCAGAGGACGGTAGCTTCGCCCGCTCCTACGTCTGCCTCAAGGAGCACGAATCTCGCTGCTACGGTCGTCCATACGTCGTCAACGTTGCCTGCTTCAATGAGTGGGCCACGGAAGAGGCTGCCTTTGCGTCCAGCGTCAAGAGCAAGCGTGGTAGCACCGCGGTTGTCCGCCGTGCCCCGTACAAGATTGGAAAGCTGGAGCTCCAGCTCCTCTTCGTTCCGCGCCCTAAGGGAGCCACGGACGATGACATGCCCAAGAGCATGAACTCTTGCATCCGGGAGATCAAGGCTGCCGAGGAGCGTCTCTCCAAGAACTGGGAGGGCCACTTGAGTCAGCAGGGTGGCGATTGCCCGGTAAGATACCTTGATGTCCATTACTTTACTTCTTTGCTAACATCAATCTCAGTACTGGCGTCGTCGCTACTTCAAGCTTGTCGGCACCAAGCTGACGGCCTACCACGAGGCAACTCGTCAGCCCCGTGCCACCATCAACCTCGCCAATGCCAAGCGCCTGATTGATGATCGACGCGCATTGACGGAGAAGGAGACGACAGGCAAGGGTGGCCGTCGCCGCAGGTCTGCCTTTGCCGAAGAAGAAGAAGGCTACATGTTCGTCGAGGAAGGCTTCCGCATCCGTTTCAACAACGGCGAGCTCATCGACTTCTACGCCGACACGGCCGAGGATAAGGAGGGCTGGATGCAAGCACTCACGGACGTCGTCGGCCGACCAGAGGGTGGAGGCGAGGGCGACGACGGACCTCGCAGCAAGGGCAAGTGGTGCGAGCTCGTGCTCAAGAGAGAGGATGCGCTGCGACGTCGGGCAGAGGGCCGGCGGGTGCACTCGCGGACCAAGAGCACATTCAACTAAAGCGATACCCCCTTCTTTTCTTTATGATTTTGGCATGACCGGGACGATCGGAGAGGACGAGGACGAAGGAACGGGAGACACGGCATGATCTATGATTCTCTTGGACCAGGTGTTCGTGATCGGATGATCATGTGTCTCGTCCGCTCTTGACCGAAAAAAAAAAAATGGCTTGCGTCTGCCTCGCGCACTCTCGCCCCAATGTTTAATAATTTGGCTGATAGGACGGCGTTTGGGCATGGTTTGGAAGGCAAGCAAGCAAGCAAAGGGTGGAAGTTCCGGAGATTGTGAGAGTCATTGTCTTTGTGGTTTTTCTCTTTTTCTACTAGATTCGTACGCGGTCTCTGGAAGCATTATTCTGGAGTCGGGTTTCCCGTTTAGGTGTACGTATGATGTAGTACTAAAATGGGAGGTTTATATCATTTTGACATGCGCGGGTTGGTGGTGGTTGTCATGATAAAGTCGACGCGACATGCAGCTTCTCACCTCGGTGAGGAAAGGGATCACGTGCAGCACAGGCGTGATGTGCATGAACTTGGGAACTTGGCTGGACCCTTGCTCCATCATTTTGCTGTAAGCGGAAGGGAGCCACGGAGGCGCAGCTGGCCCGGGGGAGTTTCACGCAAGGTATCCATCTGTAATTCCAGCGCTGGACGTCTTCAGTAAGTGGAAGTGGGTACGTAGCTCCTTGGAAGTGGGCAGCGGGCTTGTTGCGAGCCAGTGAGTGACGGGGCGGGATGGGCGCAATGAGCAGCAATGTCGCTCCAGTGTCGCTCCTCGTAGCGGCGGGAAGGTAGAAGAGGCAGGTCCAGTGAGGTGGGTGGAAAAGGTACCTGAAATAAGGTACCCTGGTGCTACGGATGGAACCAGCAGCACCACATTCATCTGTCAAGGTCCCGCCGGGCCCGCCATTGGGAGGAACAACGGGCAGCTCTACACTAGTGTAAGGTAATGCTAACTGTAGCTATCGATTCCTCCGCGTTCCCAGTCGTCGTCCTCGTCGTCCCCTTTTGCTTTTGGATCACCAAAACTCGTCGCAGGCCTTGGCCTTTTGCACACAGCATTCTCTATCGTCTATCGTCTGCATCTTTGCGATACCCCTTCCCTCCCTCTCCCGACTCACTCCCGCAATTTCCATACCCGTTTAACATAATACATCATTCCATATGGCGGGCCGCTTTGTACGAGCGTCGAAGTATCGTGGGTCTCTCTCCGTCATCCCCTTTGTCGCAACCACCCGCGTTGCGCTGCGAGGAGCTGACTGCTGACGCCCGACCTCTCTCTACACAGGACACGTCTTTGGAAAGCCGACTCGCAAGGAGTTTTGCTACGACAACCTTCACATTAGCCGAAATGCGTGGGATACCAACCTGGTGAAGGTAAGGGGAACTGGCCTTTTTTTTTTTTTTTTTTTCCCTCTTCTACGGTCGTCTGGCCCGAGACACGTCAATGAGCCGCTCGCGAACGTGAAGGGACGCAAGAAAGCTGACGAGACACTTCTCCCTACTGCTAGGCCAACCCCGAATACCTTTCGGTCAATTGGGAATCTGGCGGCGGCGGCGCCTTCGCCGTCATCCCTCTCGGCGAGAAGGGAAAGCTCCCCGACCAAATCCCGCTGTTTCGAGGCCATACCGCCACCGTCTTGGATACCGACTGGTACGCCGATCCCGCGACCGCCCTGCCCCCCCTACACCTGCCTCGAGCGCACGCGACATGCTGACGGCTCACGTGCCAGGAACCCCTTCAACGACCGCATCATCGCCTCTGGTTCTGAGGACGGAAAGGTCTTTATCTGGGAGGTTCCCGAGAACTTTACCCTCTACACGGATGCCGAGGAGCCCGGCCATGTTTCTCCCGTCAGCAAGCTCGCCGGCCATTCGAGGTTCGTCGCGCCACGAAACCAAACACCCCCCTGAGAGCTAAAAGTGCTGACTGCTAGACGTACAGAAAGGTTGGCCAGGTCCTCTTCAACCCCGCCGCCGAGAACGTCCTCGCATCCGCGTCCGGCGACTTCACGATCAAGCTGTGGGACATTGGCACCGGCCAGTCCACCCACTCCTTGAAGCACAATGACATCGTGCAGAGTCTGTCCTGGAACGCGAGCGGCAGCCTGCTGGTCACGACCTCTCGCGACAAGAAGATCCGCGTGTGGGATGTGCGCGCTGAGAAGCCCGTCCACGAGGCCCCTGGCCACCCGGGCGCCAAGAACAGCAGAGCTGTGTGGATGGGCGAGCACAACCGATTCGCGACTTGCGGTTTCTCGAGAATGAGCGAGCGTCAGATTGCGCTGTGGGAGCCTGGCCGCAACGAGCCCATTGGGGGGTTCACCATGCTGGACTCCATTTCGGGTGTCTGCATGCCCTTCTGGGGTTGGTGCTGTCTCCCGAGAGTCCATTGCTGAAGTGCTGACTTTGTTTAGACGAGGGATCCAACTGCCTGTACCTTGCTGGAAAGGGGTGAGTGGTTCGATGCGCTGCTTTGATGATGGTGAAAGCATTGCTGACGCGTCTGCAGTGACGGCAACATTCGTTACTTTGAGTACGAGAACGACAAGTTTGAGTTCCTCAGCGAGTACAAGTCTGCGGAGCCCCAAAGAGGCATTGCCTTTGTCCCCAGACGTGGAATTAACGTGAGTTCATGCAGCCTTTCGAGGAGCGGCGCAAAGTCTGACTCCAGCAGGTCCACGAGAACGAGGTTATGCGCGCTTACAAGACGGTCAACGACACTTACATCGAGCCCATCTCCTTCACTGTCCCCCGCAGAGCCGAAACCTTCCAGTCCGACATCTTCCCTCCTGCCACCGGTCTCAAGCCTGCCGTCAGCGCCAAGGAGTGGCTTGAGGGCAAGGATGGCATCCCAAACAAGATCGACCTCGAGAGCGTGTACGAGGGAACCGCGCCAAAGGAGGTCGTCGCCGACTACAAGCCCCCTACGATCGCCTCCGCCCCCACGCCGGCCGCCAAGCCTGCGCCGAAGCCCGCTCCCGCCCCCGCGCCGGAGCCTGCGCCCGTCTCGCGCTCGCCGCCTCCGTCGATGAAGGACCAGGGTGCGTCCATGGCCAACATGGCGTCCAAGTTCAAGGATGACGAGCCCGCCGAGCCGGTGGAAGACGACAACTCGAGCTTCGAGGAGGTGCAGAGACCAGCTCAGCGCGCCGCGCCCGCTGCTGCCACCCCTGCCCGTGTCGAGCACGCCACCAAGATCCCCTCTCCTATCAAGCCCGCCTCCCCTGCCTTCAAGTCCCCCGCCAGCACGTCGCAACCGTCCCCCGTCAAGCAGGCCGCCCCCTCTCCCAGCTCCTCGGGCCATATCGAGTCCTCATTGGACCAGATCAGACAGATGCTGGAGCAGCAGACCAAGCTCATCGGCAAGCAGAACGACAAGATCAGCCAGCTGTCAGCCGAGGTGGAGGGTCTGAAGCGCAAGGTGAACGCGGGTGGATCTCAGGACCAGAGCGAGAGGATCAGACAGTTGGAGCTGGAGCTCGAAGCCGCGCGGTCTTAGATCACATCACATCCTTGATGTCACTACAACTACCGCTGCTGCCGCTGCTGATGCTGCTGCCCGAATGCGTGCTACCTAAACTAGGGGAGGGGTGTGTGTGGACAGTGGGGGAAAAGATGTGATGAAAACGGGGGGATTTTGGGATGGATAGCAAGCAGTGTTTGTCAAAGCTGTATAGTTTGGTGTTTATTAGTTCTTTTTCTTCTCCCCCCGTTTCTGATTTTGCTTCTTCTGGGTGAGACCTCGGCGACGATTGGGCGCGTAGCGTAGCTTTGGCGCTGGTGATCCCCCCCGGCGGGCACGCGCGCGCGCATACGTGTATGTGTGTCAGGGTTGCCGCTGGAACTATTCGATCTCGTCGTCTCTTCCCGTCAGCGACACCAACGTATCAAACAGTCATCCCTCCACATCATCTGTAGTTGTCCTGTTGTTGTTCGTTTCATCCAGTTCACAGCCCACCAAAAGTTTCAGCATTATTGGACGCCAGCAGTTTCTTGGCATTCCAACTTTTGTTCTCTGCGTAAGACGAATTCCTCTTCCATCCAACAAGACAGACTTTTGCTTGGTGTGACACGTAGAGAAGGACGCGCCTCATTAGCAAAAACGTCGTCCCATGATGTTGGACTGCAGCAGTGAGGTAAGAAAGTTTGGGGCTTTGTGCTTCTCGTGAGACGGCGAGGATGAGATGTACCTTTTTTGTCTATTATGGGGGCAGAACATATCCCACCAAGGCTGAGCCCTGCCCCCCGCCAGCAATGGGGGAGTGTCTTACTGCCCGGGCCAGTCAGGACACTGGGATCGGGCAAAGGATGAAAAGTGGGTGGACAAGGCTGCATGGACCCGCTAAATTTTCAATTCGGAGCTATCTCTGCAACGGGCGACGATAGCTCTTTTTTCTTCTTTTTCTTTGCAGTCAGTAAAATCCTGCACCACCTACGACACGCATTCTTTCCAGGCCTTTTGTGACGACGACCAAATCTCGCATTGCCTCGATCGCGCGACCTGACGCCAGTTTTGAGAGTGAGCAGAGCAAACAGGGCCAGAGGAAACGACACAATGGCATCCGTACTCGGGAAGCGCAAGGCGCCGTCCGCCAACGTCTCCAAGAAACCTGCCTCCGCGACGGCGACGAAGAAGAGCAGCAGTCCCGCTTCCAAAACGGCGATCACGACGACCGCGACAAAGAAGCGCAAGACATCAGCCGCGGTCAAGCCGCAAGCGAGCCGGAAACCAGCGGTCGAGGAGCAAGAAGCAGACGAGGCGACGATGGACGCGCAGGAGATTTTCAGACGGCACTTCGAGGCTGCGTTTGCGCCGCTCCCCGGCACGGCTGGGGCAAAGCGCAAGGCGAAGAAGAGCAGGGCGGCGGCGGAAGTGGAGGAGAGCGAGGAGGAGGATGATGACGGGGAAGAGGAGGATTTGGACGAGGACGTCGGGGTCGACGACGAGGACGGATGGGGCGGTGTGTCTGATGGTATGTCGACGAAGCTCTTGAACCGCAAAGGGGAGGCCGGGGCGCTGATGTTCTCACAGAAGACGAGGAAGACGACGACGAGGGAGACAATGTGGTTGAGGTGGTGGACCACAGCTCTTCCAAACCCCTCCCGGCGCCGAGCATGTCCAAACGCGAGCTCAAAGCCTTCATGGTGCGCTACCCTACCTACCTCCGTCCTTTCCACCCCCCCAGCTAACTCAACCACCTAGTCCTCCAAACCCCCCTCCCAAACCGACCCCAACCCAACAACACCAGCCTCCGAACCCCCGGCCGACGAAGACGACGAAAACGACAAGTCGATGCTCGCAAATGACCTTGCCCTCCAGCGCCTCCTCTCCGAATCCCACCTCCTCGCCAAACACAACACTTCCTCCTCCACCTCCTCCGAGCCCAAGTCCTTCGCGGCCGGGAAACTCCGCCAGCGCCAGCTCGACATGCGCATGCAATCCCTCGCCCCCGGCGTCGCCTCCCTCTTCAAGCAGGACAAGATGCCCATGGCCCAGCGCAAGGGCATCGTCGCCAAGGCCGCGCAGCGCGAGACCACGCGCAGGCGGCAGGCCAAGGAGAACGGCGTCGTGCTGGAGAGGGAGGCGCCCGCGCCCAAGAAGAAGAGCGGCGGCGGCAGGGGAGAGCGGACCGTCGGCGGGCCTTCTGTGGGACGCATGAGGGGTGCGCAGTTGACGTTGAGCGAGAGGGACGTGAGGAGCATCGAGGGTAGTGGTGGTGGTATGAGAGGTGGACGAGGCGGGAGAGGTGGAAGGGGTGGAAGGGGTGGTAGGAGATGATTGCAATAGACATTAATGTCGAATACCTACGTTGAAGTACATCCGTGATATCCTCCATTAGACATGATCCTTCAACGCTTTTGATTGTTCGCATACTTTGCTCACGAGTACTTGGTCAAGGTCAAGTTAAAAGTACTTTGAGGCATAATGAACCATCACATGGGACAAATCAGTGTGATCAACATATATCAGCATTCAAGACTCTGCTTCTGTTCGTGACATGCCTGTCCGGAACTCATAGAGTCGCCGAAACGGTTCTCTCCTCCTAACCCTGGTATCATCTGGCCATACAGGCAAGCTTGCTTCTTCTCAAACATGCCTCTCCAGCACAAAGGAAAAGAAACAAACTATATATACATGTGCGAGTCGTTTCTCTTCTTCGCATCGCGACCCTAAGCTCATGCATGAAACTCTCTTTTCCATGGGTACAACAACAAAACGCTCCTCGAGATCTTCCCAGTCTCTCGGTGCGCATCTATGTGTGCGGGTTTCCTTTTTGGTTTTCGCCTGGCACCAGAGGCCAGACGATGATGCTGAACACTTGAAAACAACAAACGATGAGGAAAGAAAAAAATTCGCCCGGAGCCAAAGGAGCAAGTGTCCAGTCGCTAACGCGTGCCGAAAATCCATGGTTGGATAAATGAAGAAAAAATGAAAAGTCCCAGACCGTTTCCGAACCGTTTGTCATAGCCATGCCGCCCACTCTAAAGAACACCGTGAAGAAACGTAACTCCAGTCGTAATGAGAGCTAAAGCTCAGTTGCCGTCTCACATGATAGCGCTCGCGTTGACTGCCGGTTGGCTGATGGTCATCGGCATGCTGAGCGTCTGCAGGCTGTTGAACGTCGGGGCCGGTGCCATGCCGGCAGACGTGGGCGTTGACGAGCTGTTGACGGCGCCGTTCATGGAGCCCGTGACGTAGGCGTTCTCGGAGCTGGGAGAGGCCTCCTCAAGAGAGCCGAGCTGGTCCTCGCCAGAGTACTCTTCCTCCTCCTCGCCGGAGAAGTTGAGGGCGGCCTCGCCGTTCTCGCCACGATCATGAGTACGCTTGTGTCTGTAGAAGCATCCGGGTCAGTCCAAGTCCTGCTAAGAAAAAATTTCTTGTCCCCCCATGTTGGTGGCTGCGATGATGTGTAGTGTTGTGGTGTGTCGTGGCGGTTGGACGTTGGTTTTGATCGCTTGGGGTCTCGCTCCACACTCTACATCTTCTGACAAAGGAAATGACAAAGGAAATGATATCAAGGAAAGTTGGGGCATACTGTGCTAGGTTGTCTGATCTGGAGAATGCCTTGCTACAATAAGGGCAGATGTAGGGTCTTTCTTGTGTATGTGTTCTCACGTGTCTGGAGGTTTTGGTTAGATTTCAGGCAGGTCGTTTTATGGTTGGTGACAAATGAAAATGAGATCTGGTTCTTACCGCTTGAGGTGCTCGAGACGCTTGAAGAGGCGGCCACACGTGGGGATGGGGCAGGAGTGGGACTTTTGGGGGTAGGGTCCAAGTTCCATGACGGTCGCGGAGCGGGCTCTGCGAACGACGCCGTTCGGGCCCTGCATGCCGGGCCGCGACGCGCCGTTCATAGAACCATCACCGGACAAGTCGTCATTGGTGAGGTGGGAGAAGTCTTGCTGCTGAAGGGACATGGGGTTGAGTGCTGGGCTGCCTTCGACAGTGGACAGCGGGGTGCCGTGTCGGGACATTTCCAGCATCTCCTTGTGCTGCTGGCTTACCATGGACATGGCGGAGCTGCTGTAGGCAAGGCCGGGAGGGGAGTTGTCTGCAGACTCGTCGCCTTCAGCGACAGGGCCGACAGATGCAGAGACTGACCGCCGGAGATCCGAGGGTCTGTGCTGCTGCTGCTGTTGCTGCTGAGCGGCAGCCTGGGCCTGGGCCTGGGCGGTTGCAGCGGCAATGGCGGACATTGACGGCGGGATGGAAGAACGGCGTCTCCTCTGCTTGTAGGTCGGGGAGCCCTCAATCACAGAGTAGACGTTGTTAGTGCCGTAGGCCCTGGAGAACTGAGGACCGGCGAGGTTGGAGGGCGGGAGCTGGATCATGCCGTTGAGGCCGTTGACACCACCGCCCATGTGGTCGGGGATCGCGGTGTAGAGGCCGGTCTCCTCGTTGGCGATGTAGGCGGGCTCGGCGGCCATGCCGAGGGCCTGCTGGGGCGGTGTGATGGGCTCGAAGGAGATGCCCCGGTTGCTATAGTCCTCGTATTGGGAGGAGACGAAGGAAGGAGCGGGCGAGTACTCGAGACCGTAGGCGGGCATGGAGGCGTGCCTCTGGTGGCCTTGGGTGATGGGAACACCGTTCTGGTTGTACTGGACGCGGGCGAAATCAGGCTCCCTCTTGACCATCTGCTGAGGAGGCATCTGCTGGTGCATTCCCATCGCTCCGTAGGGAACCATCGCCTCCATGCCATCCGCTAAAGGGGCCACCGATTGGGGGATCATCTGCGGGGGAGGCATTGAGTCCATGGCTCTCATGACGGGAGAAGTGGACTGGGACTGGGAGAAAGTCACCTGCTGGGCGTTGAAGGAAGAAGAGTTGGCCTGCTGGGCCTTGGTGAGCTGCTCGTACAGCGACTGAGACGAGTCGTACTGGAAGGACAGGGCGGGCTCGCTGACGGCGACAGTGGTGGCTTCCTGGCCCATCTTCTCTCGCTTCAGATCGCGCTCCAGGGCGTCGAGGAACAGGCGGTCGTGGGGGACGCTGTACCA